TAGAAAGAGCAGTTTGTGGCTCCTTACGTGTTAATTTCAAAAAAAACGACTACAAAGTTTTTTTGGGAAAACCAGGATCTCTTCTAGAAAATAAAAAACAGGAGATCCTAGGGGTTCCGTTTTTTTCATTACAACTCTACCAAAAAAAGGATAAAAACAGTATCTAAAAGAAGAAAAGCCTAAAAATACATGTATCAAACCAAAAGGTATACCCAAAAAGTAGATGTATAAGAAAAGTAGCAAGGTAAGAAACTTGTAAGCCGAAGAGCGACTTCACGAGGGCAGGGATCCGACAAAGTAACCTAAGTAACCTCCAAAAACCTGCAACAAAAACCTGCAACTCAAAAGGGCTGAAACATAAAGACATTGGTTAGTGTAAATGGGAAGAAAGATCATAGTGGTCCAAGTTCCTTCAAAAATCCAAACAGTAAAAACAGACAACCCGAGGCAAGAGAAGCATCCCGCAAATCTACCACCAAAATCCAACAACCTGAGCCAGTATAGCCCACCCAAGCAAAAATATTGGCAAAGGATTTTGGAGCCGTGGGCCTCCAAATATAAGAGATACTGTCCTTTAAAAATATCCAGCCTCCAACCCCCCGATAAAACCATCAAAGCAAACCAAAAATAGTGTCTCCCATACTCCATACCTCTCATAACAATCATCCCAAAACACCTCTCAACCAAAGCAAAGGAGCCCTGAGCCTCCTCGCACATCGAAACACACCAAGAGAGGTATTTGTAAATGAGCTTCCAAAAAGGAAGCCATGGGCCTCCCTTATATACCCGAGAATAAATGGTGGAGGTATCCTGGATCACCTTGCACCAATTAAAGTATAACAAAGTAGTATAGTTGCCCATAAACCGCAAAATCCAAGTCTCCAAAGTGCACAGGAAAAAGAAAAGGGTAGAGCAAATAGGAAGAGCCGAGCACAAAATCACAGCCACCCAATGAGACTTAAAAAGAAGCAACCCTGCGAATATAAGGAACATCAATATTATCACCAACCAAGAGAGTATTTAAAGGAGGAGGGGGAGTAGATCCCACTCTATAAGTTTGAGCGGAACTTCCTAATTTAGCGATCCAATTAGCGGGTTGATTGTCGTCCAGGTAATTGAAACTCCAAATAACATTCACATTGGATAGTAACCCTTTAATCCTTCTAATATGATAAAGAATATCCCAAGGGGCATCGACACCTTTATCTAAAATGTCAATTAAGGTACGATTATCACATTCAAAAATGATGTTCCTCCAACTTAAATAGTGAGCCAAAATAGCACCGTTTAAAATAGCCCGAGCTTCCACCTCTATAGGATAATCCGCATTAGAAGGAGAGGAGAAAAAAAGAATGCAGTCCCCCACAAAATTCCTAATAATGCCCCCACAACCAGCTTCAGAGACATTCCAACTTCCATCTGTATTAATTTTAAACAAACCTGTAGGAGGTGGAGACCATTTCACTAAAATAGGAGGATGAAGGGACCTCCTCCCTTCCAAATTCGTATGTCCCAAAGCAAGAAAATAATTGATGCCCAAAAAGAAACCATTTTTGGAATTCCCCAATCTCCATAATTTATTAATGTAAGGGATAATATTTGAGAAAACCATAGTATTATGAATCACCTTTTCTTCATGAATAATGTCATTCCTTGCCATCCATATGAACCAACAAATAATATAAGGATAGATTTGCCAAAAGTGTTTCCTCTTACGTTCTGAATTGTACCTCAAAGAGGTAAGCAAGAGGTTCCTCGCCTGAGTAATAATGTTACCAAACCACAAACCGGCCATTTTCCAAACATATAAAGAACAAGGGCACAAAAAGAAGATATGCTCAAGAGTTTCCTCCACCGAATTACACAAGCAACAGTGGGAGACAATTCTCAAACCTTTCATCTTCAGGATGTCATCGCAAGGTAAAGTTAAGCGAAATATGCGCCAAGCCAAAAAAGACATTGACGGAGTTAAAGCCCAACTCCACACATCTTGACCCCAAGGGGTGTTATGAAAGCTATATCGAGAAACATAAATAGATTTGGTAATAGAGCTAGCCAAGGGTAATTTCAACACAGGAGTATCACGCATATGAGGATCAATAGGAATGTTGGAAATGTAGGTGGCTCCCTCCATCCCCAATAAAGTAGTACGAAGAGGAAGATTCCAATGGCCATCCACCCAAGTGTCGGACACTTTGAGATTTGAAAACGTAGTATCCCTCAAATGAAGAGAGACATGTGACCAACAGTCATGCCAGAAGGAGAGATTTCCAGAACCCACGTCCCAAAATATGAAATTCTTCGCCCAGTCTCTAACCAAAAGCAGTCTCTTCCACATGATGGAGTTACCAAGCCTCCAAGTGATGAAAGCAGGATGAGAGAAGCAACAATATTTCCCATGCATGAAATTGGCCCATAAGGACTCATTTTTCCTGAAATTAAACCATTGCTTAAAGACATTAATATCAGCGATATGTTGGAAGGATTTAAAACCCAAACCCCCAACGCTAAAAGGTTTGCAAACTTTCTTCCAAGGTAGTCATCTTCTACCAGAGTGATTTCCCATCCAAAGAAACTTATTAAAGCACCTTTCAAGATTCAAAATAGTACTTTTCTTGGGTTGGAGCACTTGAAGAGTGTAAAGCGGAAGATAATGAAGGATGCTCCTAAGCAGTGTAATACGGCCTCCAAAGGATAGGAAATTATTTTTTCAATCCAAGATTCTTTTCCGAATCTTCTCTATAACCTCGTCAGACTGTATCCATCTTTTTTGGCCATTAAGAAGAAAGACCCCCGAATATTTAAGTGGAAGGGTAGAGAGAGAGAAACCCGTATAATTAGCAATCCAGGAAGTATTAGAACAGTTAATCGTGTTCCCCAAATATATGTTGCATTTACTATCATTAAAAGAGAGGTCGGAAACAGACTGAAAATCATAACTTATGAATCTCCTTCACCATGGACTTGCTTGCATTAGAGAAAAGAATCATATCATCCGCATAGGCTAAATGAGATACCGTCATATTAGACTTATGAGAATATTGCAGCTTTGGATTCTGCCTTAAAAGGTTATTAAGCATTCTTGAGAGATAATAAAAAATGAGAATAAAAATGGTCGGGGATAAAATATCACCCTATTTAATCCCACGACCCGCACTAAAAAAACCACGAGATTGGCCATTAATAAGAATGTTGTACTTGTTGCAATGAAGCCAAGATGATATGCACTTACAAAAGTCCTGAGAAAAAAACACGGGCTTTAAGAATATTCAAAATAAACTCCCAGCTAACAGAATCATAAGTCTTGCGAATGTCCAGTTTAGTAACCATATTGCCTCCTCTACATTTTTTATCAATATCAAGAATAAGCTCCTGAGCTAGCATAATATTATCTGTAACCCCCCTCCCCTGAATAAAAACAGATTGATTCAAAGAGATTAATTTGTGTAGGGGGGCTGTAGGCTTTTGACCAAAATCTTGCTAATAACCTTAGAAATCCCAGATGTTAAAGAGATTGGTCTGAAATGTTCCCACAAGCTTTTTTGGGTATTCTTAGGGATGGGAACTATAGTAGCAATAGAGAAATAATTGCTAAGGGTTTCCCCTCTAAAGAAACTCTGGACAGCCGAAACCACATGATCATTTACAGTAGCCAACATGTAATATAGAAAGCAGAAGTGAAACCATCAGGTCCCGGAGCTTTATTACAGTTAATGTCAAGAAGGATAGAGTAAACTTCCTCAACTGTAGGAATACTACAAAGGTTGAAGCATGTTCACCCTTTGTTCAGCTTTTCTGACTCTAGCATGCTCACCAAATACATCCCAATTCCAAGCCCTTAAAGCAGCAGCCACCCTTTTATGTAATTTCCAAAGAATGTAACAAGCATTTCCCACCTCCTCGCAATGTCAATTAGCTGCACTTAATCTCAAAAATTCATCATGTTTCGCCCAAACATTTAAGAACCGAAAATGATAAATAGGAGATTTTTTTGAAATAGCCGAAAGATAAGAAGAGAGGACTGTGGTCCGAGCCAGATCTAGAAAGGTGCTGAGCTTGAGAGAAATCATAGGAGGGAACCCAATGTTGATTAGCAAGGCATCTATCAAGTCTTTCAAACAATTTGCCCCTTTTCCAAGTGAATTTAGAACCTATAAAGCCCAGATCAGAGACACCTGCTAAGGCCAAAGATTCATTAAATTAGTTGATTAAAGTAGTGTCAATTCTCGTGCCTCCTAATTTCTCAGATTCATGCATCACCATATTAAAGTCTCCACCAACCATCCACTCATGATTGATGGAAGAACCCATCACAGAAAGCTTGTGCCAAAGATCAAGTCGGGAAACATTAGAAGTACCGGCATAAACAAAGGTGAGGAACCTAGAAAAAACATCCATTGTGAAATAGGTATGAACAAACTATGTATCATCAGTGACAATATCCACTGTGATATGCTTCCGCCAAAACACCCAAATTTTGTTAGAAGAATTAGCAAAAAAAAGATAAATTTATGAATTTACCCAAGATACAATCATCCAGAGGTGACTAGAGGTTCTAAAATAGCAAATATATCCACCTTATGGATCCTTGTCATCATTTTAAGTCTACCAAGGGAATGAGAACCCGCAATTTCCCTGATATACCAAATGATGACATTAAACATATTTAGACAAATAACCCTTCCTAGCAGACCTAGGTCGGGTCTGTCCATTCTCATTATTGGAAAAATAGTGATTCATCTCAAGCCCAATGTTTCCATTGCTAAGGTTATGAGATAGTTCATACAAATACGAGAGTATGAGATGCAACACACATGCATAATGGTTTTTCCTTTAAAATCTATGTGCTTTATCATAAATGGAAAAACATTATAGTTGAAAATATCTTTGAATGGTTCATGTATATTGTTAGAAAGAAGGCACCAAATGGCTTGCATACGAGAGCAAGAACAAACAATAAAGGGATGATAGAACCCAAATACAAAGACATCAAGATATCTGTTTTTTTTTTCTTAAAGAAAGGCAAAACACATATGGGGTGATAGAGATAAAGATTTAATAAGAAAGAAGCAATGGTCATGATTTATAAATTAAGGGCAGTCACCAACTCTTGCCAAAGCCTTAAGTTACATTTAAAGAAGAGAAGATAAATAATAAATATATGAATGCCACAAAATTGTGATTCCCCACACAAATAAATCATGCTCTCTCATGAATCACTAATGCTCGTACATAGATAAGCTGGAGTTCTTATAGAATAATTCAAGTTATTATGTCAATTTGATTGATTTGATCTAGATTGTATCCTGGTTTTCATGATTATTTGGTCATTAGCATTTCGTCATATTAGAAATTAAAATTAGGGTTATATGTTGTGCTCACACTTTACATAGATAGTCATAATCCTTAAACAAAATTCATATGATCATCCTCATATCATCATCTAGTTATCAATTTCTAAGTACTTATGTATGCATTCCATAGATAATTAGATGTCATTCAGTTTCTTAATCTAACATTACACTTAAACAACCAAATTTACCAAGTGGCTTATCTTGGTTTAGATGGATTAGATCTATTGTTACTAGTTTAGTTTCACCTCCCCATATTTTGAGCAAAATCATATTCATGCTTTATCATGCAAATTATGATTGAGCACTATTTTCTTTTTTTTTGCTTTGTATTCTTAGGCATTCTTAAATTTGTTTTGTTGTATATCTGAGTGGAAAAAATTACTCAGAAAAATGGCTTGATTTTATTTTTCCACATGTCAAATATATTTACAATCATTTATGTTTAAGTGTATCAATTATATTTGAGTTGAGTGTTATATGACTTGATCTAGGCTAAATTTACTTTAGCATTCTCTTCCCTCTGGTGGGCCAAACATATTTAAGTAAATTACATCTCCTCCTATTGAATTACATTCACTAAAAATATTTTGTTTGAGCAAGCTATATTTTCCAAGAAAATTTTGCAAGAACTTGTACCTTTTGATAATTCTATATACTCAACTTTTTTTTCTAGTTGTTTATACAACTTCATAATATTTTGATCTAGTTAAATGATAAATGTACTCAATTTTATTTGACCATTCAATTTCATATTAACATGTATTCATTTTAATTTTTAGTAAGGGTTAGCACTTTGATTTACTAATAAAGTTAGTCCTTAGATTTAAGATTGACAACGGCTGTGATCGACAAACTATGACCATCAATATTTTCTTATTACATGATGAGTAGCGTGTCATAACCAAATCTTATAGAATTAATTAATGGTCTAAATAACCTTAAATATGACACCTAAATTCTATATCAAAATAAAATTATTTAAACTATATTTATGATTAATTTTTTTTCTAAATTAGAAAATATATTGTTTAAAATTTTAAATTCTACTTCCAAGTAAATAATTTCCTTATAATCTAATAATATTAATATTTTTCTTAAAATAGAAAAAGTTAATGTGATAGTCAATAAATTGATTAAATCTTTGAATTAAACGTAGATTTGATGATCATTTTTTAAACTTATGAGATATCCTACTGCTTTCATTCCTTTATTTTTTTTTTATTTTTAAAGGAGTTGTTAGTTTGTCCATCGACATATACTTTCTTTTTCTGAATAAGTTTCTCTTCCGGATAATGAATGATCAGGAGAAGAGAGAAATTAGAAAAGCAGAACTTATAATAACTGTAGACAAATAAGAGAAAGAATATGGAGAACTTCCGTGCGGCCAACCTCGCGGGGATAGTTCAAGCATGTACATCTGAATATGATCAAATTAAAATAACTTGTCATATCTACAAAAAGATGTCTAGAAATCACCCACAACCAGAGATTCATGTTTGTTTTCTTGTTATGGGGTTTAAAGTGCTCCTAAGGGGACGTGTCCCACTTAATTAATTACATCTTGTGAGTTGAACAAGAATACTCTTGATCCAAGGAGTTCTGCTTACATTTAAAGTGATAAAACACAAAGCTATCAAAGGATAGTTTTTTTTAGAGTAATACTATGATGCTTTCAAAGCTCCAGCTAAGCCATGGGGAGGAGAGTGAATCTCTCACAGCCCCACATGGGCAATATAGTTATCGACACACAGAGTCTGCAAAATGACCAGATCATCCTGATGAGATATCCTGATATGTCAAAACACCTCTAGGCCATAAGAGCATATGACAAAAGACCTGATATGTCAAGATGATTTCAACAACAGCAAGAGGAGCGACAGGTGAGAGCCTAAGTGACAATGCTAGATTCCCAGACAAAAGCACAATCCAAAAAGGTGAAACCAATCCAAGCATACAGACATGCAAGAAAAGTGGGAAAAATAAGCCAAATATGAAATAAAAAAAATTCTGTACCTCTAGGTTGACGACATATTCCAAAAGAGAAAAAGGCAGCCAAATAATGCATAAGTGCACGCTTGGTTCTAATTCTATACATTAATGAGATTTAAAATTAAGGTATGGGACACAAGCAAGCAACTCCTGATCCATGTGGTTCTATCCTCCATATGCTTCAAAACCCGTGCTCATACCTTAGTTTTAATAAACTCCCTAAGTAATATAAAAAGTACAGGAAAATAAAGAAGAAAAGATGCGACCTGCATGAATACAACATTAACCAAAAAGTCAAAAAATATGCAATGCATTTGAGTCATGTATGGCTGGAGGAGCTAAGTAGCGCCTATAGAAAAGAGTTGGCATTTAACATTATATTGCTCCTATCTAATACACCTGTGGTGTGTATTTTAGGCATGGTTCCCTGCAAGAAAATTGACCTAATATACTACCATGCATATCAAAATAGTAAGCATGCAAGCACACCATGGAGAGCGTGGCTTGAAGAATGGGTTTCTCATGGAGGTAGTGACCCAAAATGGTGGGCGTGTTCTAGAAGTAAGGCCCGAAGGATTTGTGTCGTGGAGGCAGTGACCCAAAATATTGGGCATGTTATGGAGGCAACAACTCAAAAAATGGGTGTGTCATGAAGATAGTGATTCAAAAGGGTGGGTGTGCTGTGGAGACAACGGTCTTAAGAATGGGTGCGCTATGGAGTCAGTGACCCGAAATGGTGGGCGTGTCGTGGACGCAATGACCCAAAAGATAGGTTTGTCATAAAGGGAGTGGCCCGAAAGGATGGGCGTGTCATGATTGCAGTGGTTCAAAAGATGGGTTTGTCATAAAGGCAGTGACATGAAAGGATGGGTGTGTCATGGAGGCATCAGCCAGAAGGATTAGTGTGTCATAAAGGCAATGATCTGAAAGGGTGGGCGTGTCGTGGAGGTAGTGGCCCAAAAGATGGTTTTCTATAGATGCAATGACCTGAAGGGTGGGTGTGTCACGGAGGCAGTGACCTAAAAGGATGAGCGTGTAGTGGAGGCAGTAGCCCAAAGGATGGGTATGTCATGGAGGCAGTGTTTGAATGGGTGGGCGAGTCATGAAAGAAGTGACCCAAAGAATGGGTGTGTCATGTAGGTAATAATCTAAAAAAATTGGTATGTCGTGGAGGCAGCGGCCCAAAAGATGGGTGTATCATGGTGGCACTGACCTAATAGATTGGGTGTGTCGTGGAGACAGCGACCCGAAAGATATGTGTGTCATGGAGGTAGGGATCCAGAAGGGTGAGCATGCTATGGAGGCAACAACTCGAAAGATGGGTATACCATGGACGTAGAGACCTAAAAGGGTGAGAGTGTCCTAGAGGCAGCGACCCAAAGGATGGGTGTACCATGGAGGAAGTGACCCAAAAAGGTGGACATGTCATGGAGACAATGACCCAAAAGACAGGTGTGGCATGGAGGTAGTGACCTAGAGGGTTGAGTGTGCACAGGGTGTAGTGACTCGGAAGTGGGCCCACTATGGAGGCAGCGACCAAAGTGAATGAGTGTATCCCAAGGGGCGGTAACTCAGAAGAATGATGATTCTAACTCGAGAGAATCATACAAGTGGGGTGAGTATATGAATGAACACTCAAAATGCAACTCAAGCATGTGATAATCACTATGCAAAAGATCATGCAAGCAACACTAATACACATGAAAAACACACACTATGCAGGTGAATTTGGTTGTTCGAATCGTGTGGTCAATCCAGGGTAATGTAGCCAACATGCTTAGTCGGGCTAAGGTGGCGCGCTGGACTAAGGTGATTGGTCGACTATGCTAGGATGGTTGGTTGGACCAGAGTAATTGGTCAACTAGACCCGAGCGACCGATGAGATCAAGGTGTTTGTTATACTGTGCTTGGTCGTCCAGTTGTACCAAAGTGGTAGGTCAATAAGGCTAGGGGGTCAGAACCAAAGTAATCAATCGACTGAACTGAGGTGGCTGGTTGGACCAAAGTGATTGGTCGTCCGGGTTAGGGTCGTCAATTG